GTCACACTAATCCATTCACTTTTCTGATAAGGTATGATTGGTTTAAAATTTAGAGGAATTAAAAGAAAATGGGCACATATTTTAATTGATTCATAATCTGGAATAAGTCTCACCTGTCATGGGATCAAAGAGTTGATTAGCTTCTAAGTCTGTGAAAGTATTACTACAGACAGGACATTTGAAGGAAGCCCGGTTGGTGGAATCTCTCTCATCCGTTTCAATCCTCCTTCTCATGTGGTCCAACTTATATTTTACCACATTAACAAGAGTTCGATAATTGATAAAGTAGTAGTTATGGCGAGTGGTTTTCCCATCTGCAGCAGTCTCTACCCTCATTCTGCATTTGATGAATTTGTCTCCCTTTAAATTGTTCAAAACTGATCGAAGTTGCTTCCGATCAAACTTGAGCAACTCCAGCATGTCTTCCTCTTTCACACAGGGGTTCCGGATCAAAATGTCCAAGGCCAAAGCGTGCTCAATGCCATAAAACCCCCGAATCACGTACTTGGCTAACCTCTTCAATGCTGCTGGAACCTCAGTCAGGACATCTGGGTCTGCCATCTTTAGTTTAGCAGCAACCTTCAACTTTAAATATACTAAATTCAGAAACAAAACAAAACAGGATTAGTAGGGAAGAAGACAAGGTAATCATTTTAAATGTAGAAAAATCAACCCGCTAGCCAGTACCTACTACTATTCTTGGAGTGCCTAAAGGTACTCAAACATTATCTTAAAAGGCTTCTAATACCTAGGCATCTAACAGGGAAGAGGAGGACTTTACTCGATAGAGTACACAAGATCATAGCTAAAAAGCTTGACATATTTCCTACATGTTTACTTTCATGGCCAACAGTGCGCTTGATTCAAAAAGAATGACTTGTTATTCATAACAATGATATATTACATCAAATCCACGTTATTTCAGAACAAGAAACACAAAAATGCTCAATGAGGTACTAACAATTCTTAATGATATAGATCTTTGGAAACCCTCTGATAAACCCAGCTGTTAACACATACTTAAAGTGTCTTTATTTCTTGAGTTTAATTTTCTACTAATACTATAGGATGTTTGACTCAGTCATGCTTTCACAATAAAATCACAACAAATCAATAAAGTACAAGCAATTGCCCGTTAGAACATTTGACAAAAATCTAACTACTATAAATTTGAAATAAATTAACCCTTAGATCCAGAAAGCTTTACCAACCCTGAAAAGTTAAATCTGACAGTTAAGTAAATAACCCTAGTCTTTAAAAAAGAATAAAACGGGGAGGGAAAACAGACCAACATACCCTACATGCTGAATCCATTATAAGTCTAAGGAGAAACTAAATAGATCTAATGTCCATGGCATGGGCCAGAAAGCTGTCCTCTCAAAGTCCAAGCTGGCATGTCATTCTTACACTTATACTGTCAAAAAACCTGTGCTCTAGACATTCTGTGTTTGGTAGCTGTGTGAGCATAACAAAATCCTTTAAACAACTTCAAGCGACAATTTATTCTCCAAGAAGTAAGGGGATGTTGTGATTAATAAATGAGAATGTAAGTAGTGGTAGTAGGGACTTATTAGCAAGGAGAGTTTCCATATCAATTTGATACATTCCAAATTAAAAGTAGCCAGATTATCCACAACATTTTAGATATGGTGAAATTTCCTTATGGAGTAGAGAAATTTCTGACAGAGATATGCCATTGAATTATCTCATCAAAGAATAATATTCTGCTATTAAAACTAGTTTCAACTGAACCTTTTATTTGAAATTATCATCAATACTTTCAGACTTAACATTCCTTTTATAATAAATATTTTTATAGCACAATCCTGTATTGTTAAAAAATTCCTAAATAACCAATCTACACACACATTTTGGGAAAAAAACATAAGGCTCTACCGTAACAAAGGAAAAGATTCTTACAATTGCAATAAAAGATATACTTTAGATGAATCTCAAGCCTAACTATATACAAGGTAAAATAAGAAAGTAACATCTCAATCCAAACCTGTGGTCCTAGGGCCTTCAGGTCACTCCCCAGGGCTTAAGAATGCCATAGAACCATGGCATATTCCTAGACACAGTGTGTTTTCCCTTCCAATTTGGTATATACACTGTACTTAAACTTAGTTCTGTTCTTTTGTTGTTTTGTATGTTCTACAATAGACAGACTACATTATGGCTTCAGAAACATCCAAAGACCAAAGAATGGCAGACAAATGTCAACATAACTCATTTTCCAATATTGCTTTCTACTACTGTTTTCTCCTTTCTCCTACCCCATACACAAGATCAATGATTCTCAACCCAGGCTGTAAAGTAGAATTATCTGGGGAGCATCTTAAGACTACCAATCCTGAACCCCACTCCCAGAAGTTTTGTTTCAACTGGCCTAGGAGGGCCAGGTTAGGCACTAAACTAATTTTAAAAGCAATACACACCAAAAGTCCCTAACTACTTACCCTACCAACACACATTTCACAATGGAGAGGTACCTGTGGCACTTATTTAGCCTGTTTTCTTTGCCTCAAACACTCTTAGTAAGTCCTAGAGATGACAGTAATTGAGTGTCGTGAGGACTCTGCAATCCAACAGACCTCAGTAAATACTCAGCCTTAAGTTCTGCATATATAAAAAGTCATTAACAATGCCTTTTTCATACAGATGATGTATAAATTAAATAAAGTAATTAACATAAAGTGTTCTGCTTTCAGGACTAGCAGGAAGAGTTTGATTTAAGTATGGCATTCATAATAAAATCCCTTATTTATAAAATTGAGTCTTGGAGCAATATGAAGAATGATCTGAAATAAAGGTGGAGGCACTATGGAAGTATAAGGAGCTGCAGAAATAAAACTGAAACTCAGGTTAAGAAAGCAAAAAATTCCAAGGACAAGATGAATGTAATTTAATCACAGAACCAAAAGACCAAAAGCAAAAGTACCCAACAGTACTTAGGAAACAGAATAGGAAAAATCTTAAACAACTCTTTGCTTTGAGTCACTGTAACTAGGAAAAGTAGTACAATGACAAGTGGTAACACCTGAACCAGTGTTTGGAAAAAAAAAATGAGGCATTCACTTTTAGTAGCATGCCTTTGAGAAAATACCATATGCTAATGCTCTAATGATGGCCCAGCAAGTAGCCTGACAAAAAAAAATTAGAGCTCAGGAACAAGAACAAACTGAGCCATCTTGTTCAAATCTCTGTATTTTGAAATCCTCCTTCCTGATCACCATCTTCTCTCCTCCACCACTTCCCCTTCCCCACTCAATGCTCAATCTCCTTACTCAATCCCTGCATTTAAGTTATGTATGAAATGCAAAGATTAGCCACATACATTGTTTCACCCAAAGAATGTTATGAACATTTTCTAAATTAGTTGTCCAAAAAAATTATTCAACATTTTAAAAATCATGACTTCACATAAATTTCAACTTCCAGCTCCTCTGGAAAACTGGAAATGTGTGTGTGTGTGGGGGGGGGGGGGGGGGAGGTCTGAGTCTGACCATGTCCTCACAAAAGCTGAAGCTGAACAGCAGTTGACACGTCTAGACAGGGAAGAAGCTTGGTCTCTGGAGACAGTTGAGTGTGTGCTCTCAATGCCCTCCTTTCCTTTTCTTATTTTATAGTTCATCAGTCATTTCCCAGCTTCAACTACCTCCCTACCCAGTCCAGACCCATATATATCCTAATTATGCACACATTTAAGGACTATTACGCCCCAAGCATGGAACTGGAGAAACAAAGTTGAAAAAACACTCTGCTCCACGTCTACCCTTGTAAACCTCATATCCAGCACACTAGCATACTCAGGACTGCAAGAGCCACACGTGCTTTCTCTACTTGCACCTATTGTTCACTTTGTGTCCACAGCTAAGCCCAAACCATTTTCTCCTAACTGTCCTTCAAGTCACATCCTTCTCGAGTCACATTTTCTCAGAGGCTTCCCAGATTCTCTACAGTAGCACAGAATGACCTCCTTTCATATGTTTCATAGCTGTTCCCCTTCTAGCACTTTCTCCATGTCTAAGTCCAGGGACTTCATCTTGCTCACCAATTAATTTCTAGCATCTAGTCAAGTGCTTACATAAAACTTTCAATGCTATGCACGTGTTCTTCCCACAAGCCTACCCTGCCAGCTTCCCCATGATTCACTTCCTCCACAAAAGAAGGCAGACTCTTCACTATCTTTTTCTTAGAATGGTTTTAAGCAAGATATGACTAGATCAAATTCGCGACTGTGAAAGATTATGCTGACTGGGTAAAGAATAAAAGAAGAATGAATGCAGGGCGTCCAGCTAAATTATTCCAGTATACTACTGCTCAGTTCCAGAAGAACTTGGATTCCACACGTATACCTGCAGTTTTCTCAGTCACTGTATTTCATGGCAGGCGCCACGCCTTCACGTAAAGCGGCACACTACCGCGAAACCTCGGGATCCCGCGGCCCTCCACGAGTCGCGTTCAGTAGTGTTCAATCCGCCCCAATGCGAGACCCCGAGACCCCACATTCCCTCAAGCTCTTCCTGTTGGGTCCAGGGCCACACTCGGCGCAGCCACATCCGTCCTACACGAGGTCGCAAACGGGCCGCTCCGGGGTCAATGGTTCTTTGGAAGACTAAAGATAAAAGGTGGCTAGGGAGAGGGGGGCAGTTAAGAAGAGAGGAGCGAAAAGGAGAAGCTGTGAAAAACGACGCCGAGCCACAGCGAACAAGGAATAGGGAATCAGGTTTACCAAAGCGAATCCTCGAACACTCCCACTACAGCTTCCCTCAGCACCTGAACTACCGGCTTAAACAAGCCCACGCCACTGTGCGACAAATTAAACGTCTTATTCCTGCGACCGGCGTAGGAAACCACTCGCTGCCTTTAACCAGACCAGCCTATCACCATAGGTTAGCCTTCAATCAAGAGAGTCACACTGCGGCCGACCAATGAAATTGAAGGCCGTGCCCTCCCTGTCCCGCTGTGATTGGCCTAGAATCCCGGAACAGGCGTTGACCCCAGCGAAAGCGGTGGCAAGATGGCGTCCCTGGATCGGGTGAAGGTACTGGTGTTGGGAGACTCAGGTGAGCGGCTAAACCCTCCTTTGTGGCTCCCGACACTTTTCAGTTACCCAATACCTCTCACCCTTCACTGCTGTCCCCAGCTTCCTGGCTTTTCGGTCTGTAGCTGAGTTCCCTTTCGGAGCCTAAAGACTACACTTCCCAGAGGACTTTGCTCCATTTGCCGAATCGCCGTCGTCGCGTGGTGGGGGGCTGGTAGTGGAGTTAGCGCCTTGGTCTGCGGTTGCGGTTTTCCACATCCGGCTTCCGAGCGACCGCTGCTTAAGAGAATTGCTTTATTTAAAATAATAATAATTTTTTTATCAATTGACTTACTTTAAAAAGTGCTGGCGCTGTTATTTTATTGGGAGCCGTGTAAGGGTACAGAAGTTAGTAGGACAGTGCCTTCAGAATATTTTGTTAAGTCTGACGTGCACCAAGAATGACACTGGCGAGCGCTTTGGTATATTAATTCATTTAATTCCAAGATTAGTCCTTTGACCCCATTATAGAGGAGAGAAAAGCGAGTAGCAGAGTTGTAAATGACAACTGGTTTGAACCCACGAGCTTAAACACATATGTTACGCAATGAAATAGTGAGTGGTAATCCTATTTCACTCTTAATCCAAAAATGGATTTCCATATTCTCATTTAATCTTAACTGAAAAACCTATTATGTTCTGAATTGTAGGAAACAGAGAAATTAAGATGAAGGCCACACTCAAAAGTGACTAGGACTTAATCCTGAGCCTAACTTAATCCTAGTGTTAAAATACTTCTTTTGACTCCCTGGACATTTGAAAACTACCTTTGAAATCTGCACCATCGCTCCAACAGCCTTACTCTCTTTCCCACATAACCTACGACTCTCCTAAAAACTTGAATAAATGCTGTTATAGATGTGCTTTTCTGGATTTGATCTTTGTGTGCTGTAAGCGATGACATTGTGTTACATGCTTGGAGACAAAGAGGACATACCCCAAAGAGCTTGAAAGCTAGCCTTACAGAGAGTATATCAAATTATGGTGGGAGAGGAACATCGTCACATTGCATGGGAACATTTGCAATTCAACATGTCTTACAAAAAGTATTATTTAATATTCCTCAAATATTATTTAATATTCTTGCATTATGAAAATCTATAAATATAATCCCAATGTATGTCAATTTCATTTCTTTTATTGTGGAGCTTAAAATGACATTAAATCAATAAAATCACTTGGTGTAACTGATGAAGAAAGTAATGGTGGCCTAAAGGGACTTGGCAATACTCATCATCAAATACAATTTAAGACTAGAATCCAGAGTTAACACAGATCTTAATGGTGTATAAAGTAGATGTTCTTTCTACTAAGTAATTCCATTTTCTATTGTATCTAGCAGTCCCTTCATGTTACATGCTATTGGAGTTAGTTTATTTATTGTGTTTTTCAGTAGGTATATTGTATTAGATGCTGGGATTAAAACTGTAGAATCAGTGCATTGCAATAACAGGTAGAATTGGCCACTGCATTAAATGTGGAAAAGTAGTCAGGCAGTTAGTAAGTTTTCCCTCCACCCACCCCATTTTTCATTAGTTTTAAAAGAGACATCAGGGCCTGCATAATGCCCACCTGGAAGGTGATTGATCCTGTCACACATTCACTATTTGGTTTTATGTGCAAAGTCGGTTATTGTCTTTTTATCAGTTTCCTCTTAACAGTGATTTTCTAATTAACAGGTCAGAATACACACTTTGCACTTCATGTTCAAACTTCAAAGTTAATTTTGAATAAAAGGTTTATTTCCTTTGTGAACTTTTGAGAGTTTTTCAACTACATAAAGGAATGACTTGAGATTCGGAGACTTCTTTTGTATCCTACAGACAGAAATATTTGATAATCTATTAAGAATCATGAAAGACTTAATAACATAAACATACTGTTTTCTCTTTGTTCTTTCAGAGATTAGGGATGAGCTTAATACATTACCAACAACTGTATTTGGAGCTGACATTTATTTGATTATATTGGGCCTTTTTTCCCCAAAAGCAAATCAAGTTTATTCTTTTGATCTAATTTACTTCAACGACAGAAATATAGAATCAGAACCTCCTAAAATTCTCAAAAGAAATAAATAATTGGCCTCTATGCCTAGCACTTCAGCCTTTCTTAACTATTAGTTTCATCCATTGTCACTAATACTTACCACCTAAAGCTGTTTGTTCATGGAGAGATATACAATATTACTGCATAGAGATATTTACCCTGACACAGTAAAGCTAAACTAGGACTTAAGCCTTGCATGAAGCTGATAACTAAATGCCTTGATATGTGCTCCAACATAAACATATGTAAACACAATGTTAACAATATGCCCTAAAGATTAACGATAACATGCAATTCAGTAATGAACATATGCAATGAAATGAAGTTTGAGTACTCAGAAATCTTAAATGCTGATATGTTAAAAAAGAAGAAAAAAGAAAACCTTGGGAAATTTTTCAATTATATTAGATTATTAATATCTTTAGTGCATAAAGAGGTCATATAAATTAATAATAAAACCCAGTAGATAAATGGGCAGGGGAAAGATGAACGGAGATGATCATAATTTATATCTTTCCCAGAAAGTAAAGCAGAATAAAGCAAGTCTCGGGTTTTTTTTCTCTTATCAAAATAGCAAAGATAAAGAAAAACAGCTACATGTTCATATGTGTGACTGGTGACAGTGTAATCAGATGAAAGTAATTTGCCAACATGTATTAAGAACTTTTAATTTTTTTCCCTTGTACATGTTGATGTTCTTGGAAGACATACCAAGGAAATAATTTTAAACAAATGTTTAAATAGAAATAAAAACTTAGTGTAGTGAAATTTTTTAAACACACTAAATCTATAATAATGATAGAATAGTTAAATAAATCATTATATCTACTGTATAAAGTACTATGGAAATATTTAAGTGTTTATGAAGATTCTATAACAACTTGCAAATTGTCCCCTACCATGATATGGGGATTAAACCGGAGGTGCTCTATCCACTAAGTTATACCCCCATCCCTTTTTATTTTTTATTTATTAATATACAGGGTCTTGCTAAGCTGCTAAGGCTGGCCTCCCAGTTTGATGCTTAAAGAGCACTTATGTATCACAGACATAATACAACCATACCCATTCACATAGAAACTTTTAGTCAATAAATACTGATTAAGGCCCTGTTCTGAGTACTGTCCATTAAAAAAAAAAAAAAAAAGGAGTAAAACCCAGCCCCAACACTCAAGGAACTTAAACAGTGAATAAAACCTAGAAATAAGAGTAAAACTGTTTAAAGTGCCCTATAGGAAAATATACTGGGTAGAGTGGAAGTGCATTGGATGGTGTGCTTAGTTCTACCTGTATGGAGTCATAAAATACTTTTTAGAATGTTCCTGAGTCTTGAAAGAGTAATTGACCAGGTCAGTGGGGGAGGAGAGAGAGGATGGATAGGCTGTTTGTGGTAGAGCAAGCTATGTAAGCAAAGGCTTATGATATTTGTATTATTTTAAAGTATACCATGCATATCATCACAATAGAAGGAATAAACATAAGTGATGGATTTATACATAATAATTCACAGAGATGATCTAAATCATTGAGGTAGCTAGTGATTCATAAAGATTCCCCAACTATACCTGTCATAATGGAATCCCAAAATGCTTTTAAATGAATGAGTGACTCCAAAGAGGTATAGGGGAGTGTTCATTCCCTTTCTTCATACAGATCTCCCAAGTGCCACCCTTAGCATTAATAATTAGATTGCCTTAAGACCAGAAGGAGATCTAAAATGAGATAAAATGCTGCTTCAAAGTAAAAGACCATGATGTAGAAGAAATTAGAGTTGCTCTTTTGATTCAAAGGGTAAATTTGTGCTGCTTTTAAAAAAATCACTAACTGGGAGAATTGGAGTGCCTGAAAATGGATTTGTTAGATGGTAAGTCCTGCTTACTGACAGCATTCAGTAACAGGGTAACAGGGTGCCATGAAAGGGACCCTGTACCTCATCATGGGTGTACAGGGTAGATGGATTACCTCTAAAATCTGTTAACATTCTGCAATCCTAAAATAGGCTGAGTAGATAGTCAAATATTTACCAGGAAAGGGGTTAGTTATTATGAAATTGCCCTACTCCAGTGGTTCAAAGTGAAGCTCCCAGACTAGTAGCATCAGTATCACCTGAGAACATGTTAGAAATTTTAAAATCCTGGATGCTATTATAGACATGCTAAATTGGAAAGCCTGGGACCAGGATCCAGCTCTCTGATTTTGATGCTAAATTGAAAAGGATCACTGCCCTTAACTATCTTCACTTTCATTCTTATTTCAAGCTTATATCATTGATATGATCTGAACATACCTTTAAACATATTGCACTTTAAATACCATTATTACTGCATATTCTTATTCTTACTTTGAACATAGAGATTTCAGTATGTCTTGCATATTACTATAGTTCTTGTATCTTTTCCAGGTGTTGGAAAATCTTCACTAGTCCATCTTCTCTGCCAAAATCAAGTGTTGGGAAATCCATCATGGACTGTGGGCTGCTCAGTGGATGTCAGAGTATGTGTCTCTTATGTTTTATGTTTTTAGTAGTCATACTAAAGATAATGCCTTCAAATTACATGATTAGATTATACTACAGTAAACATTAAGTAATAATAAAAGCTGGCATTTGTTAGGCAGCTGGTATGTGCCACGTATTATGCTAAATGCTTTACATGTCTTAGTTTCTATTTGATCTTTTTTTTTAAGCTGTGCTATTCAGGTGCAAAATATAAGGCATAGGGACTAACATGTGTTGCTATTAATTAGAAATCTTCTGTCCACCTAATTACTATTCTTAAGTTAATTTCTAGTTACTTATGAAAGATGTGGGTTTTGGGCTGGGATTGTGGCTCAGTGGTAGAGCGCTTGTCTAGCATGTGTGTGGCACTGGGTTTGATCCTCAGCACCACATAAAAAATAAAGCAAAAGGTATTGTGTCCATCTACAACTAAAAAAATATATTTTTTATTTTTTTTTTTAATCTTTCATGTTGTGCAGTTATACTAACCTATGTTTAGGTGCAAATGAGTTTTTGTTCATCACTCTATTCAGAAATTGCTGTACTTCTCATATCTTCATTTTTCAAAATTTTAAGCCATTATCTGTTTGTCTCTCCTCATTCACTCTCTTCCTTTTGAATTTTTATGTATTCCAGATGATGTACTCATATTTTTCTTTCAATTAACTAAGAATTTCTTCAGCTATATTTAATCTATTTTTTATCATATCTACTCAGTTTTTCAAATAAGTATAATTTTAAATTTCTAGGTGTTCCTTTGGTTCTTTATCAAATGCCCGAAATTTTCAAGCTGTACTATTTTTTTTCAATATGGTTTACACTTTTAAAAAAATCTTTATTTTATTTATTTATTTTTATGTGGTACTGAGGATCGAACCCAGTGCTCACATGTGTGAGGCAAGTGCTCTGCCACTGAGCTACAACCCCAGCCCTGTACTTTATAAGAAAAAAAAAAAAACTATATATATATATATATATATATATATATATAT